ACTGGCCCTCGGACAGTGCGGCACGTCCTCGGCACTGGCCCTCGGACAGTGCGGCACGTCCTCGGCACTGGCCCTCGGCACTGGCCCTCGGACAGTACTGACCTTGCGACTGCATATTGCTCCCCCTGTGCTGCCTGGATCATGGAACTGAATTCAATAAAGGACTGGGACGCAGCCTTGCTGACTGCTGTGAGTCACATTGTTAAATTTACAAAGACCACATCCATAGCCGAGACAGTAGCTACATAGCTTTGTGTTGTAGTCCCACACTTGGTGAGATCTCTGACACATTCTTACCCAGCCTGAAACCCTGTAATCAAGAAAACAATGTGGAATAATGCTCACAGTGGCCATTGTCATCTCCATTTCTCAGCTGGAGTTACTCTGATTCATCAGTACTTTGAACTAATTTCCATTGTGGGCAAAAGATACAAGATAGTCTTTAAGATTGATTTTTTAAAAAGTTTGTAGCAGAAAATCCATTGCTCTTTAATCTCTTAACAGCTTCACTTTTTTTCAAAAATAACATTGCATGTACTGTCTGCAAGAGTTGTTGCCTCAGTGTGCGAATGCAGCAACTATAATCTGCCATGTTTCACTTCAACTTTTTTGCAGTGCTGACCTGTGTCACTTGCATTTCTGGTGTATCTACACTGTCCCCATCAAACTGTTAGGACAGGGACAGTGCAGGGTTAAAGCTCCCTCTACACTGTCCCCATCAAACTGTCAGGGCAGTTTTGAAGAAGGGCCTAGGCCCGAAACGTCAGCCTTCCTGCTCCTCTGATGCTGCTTGGCCTGCTGTGTTCATCCAGCTCTACACCTTGTTATCTCAGATTCTCCAGCATCTGCAGTTCCTACTATCTCTAGAGTAGAGTTCTCTCTACTCTTAAGTTGAAAATAAATTATATTAGAGTCATTGCGTTTTACAGCATAGAAATAGACCCTTCAGTCCAACTCATCCGTGCTGACCCCACATCATAAATTAATCTATTACCATTTGCTAGCATTTGGCCCATATCCCTTTAAACTCTTCCTATTCATGTACCCATCCAGATTCCTTTTAAGTGTTATAATTGTACCTCCTCCACTTCCTTTGGCAGCTCATTCCATACACGCACCACCTTCTGCTCCTTAGATCCCTTTCAAATCTTTCCCCTCTCACCTTTAAATCTATGTCCTCTAGTTTTGGACCCCCCTAACTAGAGTTAGTTACACCTTGAAACTTACTTGACACTGAGGGAGTGCTGCAATGTCAGAGGGTCAGTGCTGTAATTTCAGAAGGTCCAGTGTTCCAATGAGGAGAGGCGGAGATGGTTCCAGTGATCAATACTTATCCCTGAGCCAATGTCACTGAGAAAGGAAATGACCTGGAACCGTATCCGATTTCTGGAAATGCGTGTGACACAAACATGCACTCCAGGAAAGGAGAAGTGAGAAATGACATTGTAATTTGTAGGACCTTCCTGTGCACAAATTGGGAGCTGCGTTTGCTCCATGACAACCATGACCTTTTTTTTTCTTTATTCATTCACGGGATGAAGGTGTTGCTAGCTAGGCAGCATTTATTGCCCAGAGGGCAGTTAAGAGTCAACCACATTGCCTTGGGTCTGGAGTCACATGTAGGCCAGACCAGGTAAGTTTCCTGGAACAAAAACAAATTTGCTGGAAAAGCTCAGCAGGTCTGGCAGCATCTGTGGAGGAGAAAACAGAGTTAACGTTTTGGGTCCGGTGACCCTTCCTCAGAACTGATGGTGGCTGGGAAAACGTCAGTTTAAATGCAGAAAATGGGGAGGTGGGTGGGGTAGGGAGTAAACGATAGGATAGAGCCCAAAGAGAGGGAAAGACAGTTGGACAGACAAAGGAGTTGCTAACGATCAGGCTGGGAGGGTGAATACTTGTTAATGGGGACTGTTAGTGACTAACAACAGGGGGTGTGTAGTGGCAGGCTATGTGGTAACAAGGCCTGGTATGTGGGGTGGGGGGCTGGGACATTGGAGAGTTTAAGCCCTAAAATTATTGAACTCGATATTGAGTCCAGAGGGCTGTAGGGTCTCCAAGCGGAAAATGAGATGTTGTTCCTCCAGCTTGCGTTGGGCTTCACTGGAACACTGTAGCAAGCCAGAGACAGAGATGTTGGCCAGAGAGCAGGGTGGTGCATTGAAATGGCAGGCAACAGGTAGTTCAGGGTCTTTTTTGCGAGTAGAACGTAGATGTTCTGCAAAGCGGTCGCCAAGTCTACGCTTCGTTTCCCCAATGTAGAGGAGACCACATTGTGAGCAGTGAATGCAGTAGACTAGATTCTTGGAAGTGCAGGTGAAGTGTTGCTTTACCTGGAAGGTATGTTTGGGCTCTTGGATACTGGGGAGGGAGGAGGTAAATGGGCAGGTGTTGCACCTTCGCCGGTTACAGGGGAAGGTGCCATAGGGCTGTGGGGAGGTGTTGGGGGTGAAGGAAGTGTGGACCAGGGTGTCCCGGAGGGAACGGTCCCTGCGGAAGGCGGATGAGGGAGGGGAGGGGAATGTGTGTCTGGTGTGGCATCTTGCTGGAGGTGGCGGAAATGGCGTCTGATGATCTTCTGGATGTGTATGCTGGTGGGATGGTAGGTGAGGATAAGGGGAACTCTATTGCTGTTGCGCGAGGGAAGAGACGGGGTGAGGGCAGAAGTGCGGGAGATGGATCGGACCCGATTGAGGGCCCTGTCAACAACGGAGCTGGGGAATCCTCCGTTGAGGAAGAAGGTGGACATTTCGGAGGCTCCCTTGTCGAAGTTGGCCTCATGTGAACATATGCAACGGAGACGGAGGAACTGAGAGAATGGGATGGAAGTGGGGTGTGAGGATGTAGCTGTGGGAGTCAGTGGGTTTGTAGTGGATATTAGTCTCCAGTCTATCCCCAGAAATGGAAACAGAAATGTCGAGGAAGGGAAGGGAGGAGCCAGAGATAGACCAGGTGAAAGTGAGGGCAGGGTGGAAATTGCAGGCAAAATTGATGAAGTTTTCCAATTCCAGACGAGAGAGGGAAGCAGCACCGATGATATCATCGATGTATCGGAGAAAGAGTTGTGGGTGAGGGCTGGAATAGGACTGGAACAAGGAATGTTCCACGTACCCCACGAAGAGACAGGCATAACTGGGGCCCATGCGGATACCCATGGCAACCCCTCTTACCTGAAGAAAATGAGAGGAGTTGAAAGAGAAGTTGTTGAGGGTGAGGACGAGCTCGGCCAAGCGGAGGAGGGTGGTGGTGGGTGGGGATGGTTCAGGTCTTTGCTCCAGGAAGAAGCGGAGAGCCCTAAGACCCTCCTGGTGGGGAATGGATGTGTAAAGGGTTTGCACATCCATGGTAAAGAGGACATGACTGGAGCTGGTAAACTGGAAGCTTTGAAACCGGTGTAAGGCATCAGATGAATCATGGATGTATGTGGGTAGGGATTGGACCGGGGGGAGAAGACTGAGTCAAGGTAGGAAGAGATGAGTTCTGTGGGGCGTGAGCAGGCTGAAACAATGGGTTTACCTGGACAGTCCTGTTTGTGGATTTTTGGCAGGAGGTAGAAAAGAGCTGTGTGGGGTTGGGGGACAATTAGCTTGGAAGCGGATGGGGGGAGATCACTGGATGAAATGATATCTGTAACCGTAGTGGATACAATGGCCTGATGTGCCATGGTCCAGGGGAAGGTAGGAGGAGGTGTCTGAGAGCTGGCGCTCAGCCTCTGCAAGGTAGAGGTCAGTACACCAGACAACAACAGCACCACCCTTATCGGCAGGCTTGATGACAAAGTTAGGGTTAGATCTGAGTGCACGGAGTGCAGTCAGTTCGGAGGGAGATAGGTTGGATTTGTTGAGGGGGCAGTGAAATTGAGGCGACTGATGTCACGTCGACAGTTCTCAATGAAAAGATTGAGTGCAGGTAAAAGGCCGGAAGGAGGGGTCCAGGTGGAGGGAGGTGTTGGAGTTGGGCAAAGGGGTGTGTGGGACGGGAAGAGGACTCTTGTCCAAAGAAATGAGGACGGAGGCGAAGACGGCGGAAGAACAGTTCGGCGTTGTGTCGTGTAAGTTTCCTTCCCTAAAGGACATTAGTGACCCAGATGAGTTTTCCCGACAATTGACAATGGATTCACAGTCATCATTAGATTCCTAATTCCAGATACCTTTTTATTGAATTCAAATTCCACCATCTGCCATGGTGGGATTCGAACCTGGGTCCCCAGAACATTATCTGGGTCTCTGGATTAATAGTCCAACAATAATACCAATAGGCCATTGCCTCCCCCACGCAATTAATCTCATTGGCTGAGAGTTGTCCTGGCAATTGCTGAGATGTTGGAAGGTGTTGGATGAAATAGAATTATATTTTTCTGTCCTTTTGTCATTGGCACCATTTCACACTATCTCTCTTTTCTTTCTCCCTGCCCACAATCCCATTTGTTCAACAGCCGAACCCAATGTCTCTCCGCCCCCTTTGAACGCTGGCCCCCTCACCCCCTCACAGCCGGGTGCCTCCAGGAAAGCTGCGTCCCTCCAGAAGAAGGCGAAGAAGCATCGAAAGGGGGCTGGTGAGCCAGTTGAGTTCCACCGCATCCTGGAGGGAACCATCTTTGTCCTGAGCGGCTTCCAGAATCCCTTCCGCTCAGAGCTAAGGGACAAGGCTCTGGAAATGGGGGCCAAGTACCGGAGCGACTGGTCACCCGACAGCACCCACCTCATGTAGGTAACCAGCAATATCATTGCAGAGAGGCAGCAGGAGGAGGACGATGCACCATTCAGACCTCACTTCCCTCCTTGAGCCTGTTACACAGGAACAGGAGGAGGCCATTCAGCCCCTTAACACGTTTAGACAGGAGCAGGAGGAGACCCATTCAATTCCTCATGTCTGTTATGCAGCGAGGCCATTCAGCCCCTTATGTCTGCATCGTAGAGAGAGATCAAGGCTGATTTGGAGCGAGCAGTTCAATCCAGCGTCAAGGTGGGAGGAATTTCCAAGCTCTCCCGCCCTCTGAATTGAGGCGTTTTCTCATTTCACTCCCGTGAAGTCTGTCTCGAAAGTTCAGTTTGTGTTCCCTGATCATTATGAAAGAAATAATAAATTGCGGTCGAGACAAGCTGCAGTAGATACTGCGGGAATAGAAAGTGGACAGTATCAAATGGTGGGGGCCCAGAGTGACTTGGTGGAGGGGGCAGAGGTTAGTGTAGAGCAGGAAGGAGGGCTCTGCTGCTTCAGTCAGGTTGGATCCTTCATTAAATATCTTGGAGCTACAAGAAAGAATTGAAAAGCTGTGAAATGTTTGCCTTTCTCTCTGTGTCGGGGACTAGAACACCAGTGGGGAGGCGATGCCCTAGTGGTATTGTCGCTAGACTGTTAATCCAGAGACCCAGATAATGTTCTGGGGACCCGGGCTCGAATCCCGCCACAGCAGGTGGTGGAATTTGAATTCAATAAAATATCTGGAATTAATAGTTAATGATGACCATGAACCCATTGTCGATTGTTGGAAAAACCCATCTGGTTCACTAATGCCCTTTAGGGAGGGAAAACTGCCATCCTTACCTGGTCTGGGCCTAAATGTGACTCCAGACCCACTGCAATGTGATTGACTCTGAACTGCCCTCTGTGCAATTAGGGATGGGCAATAAATGCCGCCTGGCCAGCGACGCCCTCATCCCGTGAATGAATAAAGAAAAAAAAAGGAGCTGGGTGTGGTGCTCTAGTCATACAAAATCCCGGTTGGACCACACCTGGAGTCACTGGGACCGGTTCAACACTCCGCATTCTCAGGAAGGAGATATTGACCTTGGAGTAATTGCAGTGTAGATTCACCAGAATGAACCTAGGAGTGCAAGGGTTATATGATGAGGAGCATCTGAATTCCCTGCAATTGAGAAGGTTAAGGGCACGGTGGCTCAGCGATTAGCACTGCTGCCTCTCGGCGCAAGGGACCTGGGTTTGATTCCACCCTCGGGTGACTGTCTGTGTGGAGTTTGCACATTCTCCCTGTGTCTGTGTGGGTTTCCTCCGGGTGCTCCGGTTTCCTCCCTCAGTCCAAAGCTGTGCAGGCTAGGGTGGATTGGCCATGGGAAATGCAGGGTTACGGGGCAGGGTAGGGGGTTGAGTCTGGGTGGGATGCTCTTCGGAGAGTCAGTGTTGACTTGTTGGGCCGAATGGCCAGTTTCTACACTGTAGAGATTCTGTGAAAAAGTGGGGAGGTTGATTTGATCTTCGAGATATGATGGAGAACAGACAAAGGTTGATAGAGAGAAACTGTTGTGTAGTCTAGGACATTGGGCTGGGGAGGGAGTTGAAATTGGGCAACGGTTGTAGACGCGGTTTAAAAATAGTCTCCCATTTAGAACAGGGATGAGTGTTTTATTTTCTGGCGTTTGAGAGTCTTTGGACATCTCTTCCCCGGAGAGTCATGGAGGCTGAGCCATTGAAATATTTTTAAGGCAGAGGGAGATTGATTTTTGACTGATGAGGGTGTCTCTGATTATTAGGCATTTGAGGAACATGTGGGTGAGTGCATAGTTGGATAAGCCTTGATCTTAACAAATGGCGGAACAGACTGAAGAGCCCGAATGGCTACCACCTTCTCCTCATTTGACTGCCTGTATGTATACAGTGTGATAGAACTTCTAAAGGGCTCTCTTCCAAAAATGGCAGTTGATTAATTGCTGGTGTTGTATCTAAGAGATTGTCAGATGTTGTTCTTGTTGTTGCCAAGGGAAATGGAATCGGATAACGGATCAGCTGTCACCCCGTTGAGAGAAGGGGACAGGTTCGAGGGGCTGATTGGCCTACCCTGTTCCTGTTTCTCACTGTCCGTGATGTGAAGCTGTTCGGAGGGCTGCGACAGTCCTTGGGGAGAGTTTGACACACAGACGTGGGACAGTTAGTGTTAGGCTGTGGGGAGGCTGATCGGTTCGAGGCTGATAGGTTCAAGGCAGAGGGTAACGGTATTCTGTGTTCAGAAGCAAGTGGGATCTCCATTGGGATAGAGCCAGTTCCTGTTCTGATGTTCTCTCGCTCTGTCTCTCGCTCACGCTCTCTCTCTCTCTCTCTCGTTCCATAGCTGCGCCTTTGCAAACACTCCCAAGTACACCCAGGTCAAGTCGCAAGGGGGATGTGTGGTCCGAAAGGATTGGATCTTGGACTGCTACAAGAAGAAACAGAGGCTGTCCCACAAACGGTAAGTCTCGGGGTAAAGCTCTATCCTTTTTTTAAAAAGTTGGAAGGGGTGGAGAGTCATTGGTCGAGCCTCTGTTTTATTAGCATCTTTAACGTAGCGAGATATCCGAGAATGACGCAGGAGGAACTGACACTGAGCTACATATGGAGGGAGGACTGCTGACGGAAAGCTGGGCAAGGGAAGGCAGCTTTTGAGGAATTGAATAGAGACAGTTCAGACTCTCACTGAAGCTGTCACCTTCATCGTAACACCACGTTCGTATTGTGACCACTAGAAACCACCAGAGCCTGGTGTCCGTTGTTATTCCACTACCCACCACCAAAAGATGAGATGTTCATGAAGTCTCCTTTGAAATGTTGATCTTTTTTGTTACCGTGCCCTTGGGCTGCTCCTGATCCTAATTCAATTTCAGTTTAATGCTGTGGGATAATCTTAAAATGGTAGAAGCAATACCAGTTTTGGGATTTTAAACAGTTGCCTAATGTGGTATTACAAACGAGTTTACGTCAGAAAGGTGTGACCACCTACTGTTAAAGGTTCAGGATTAATTAGCACCTAACCTGATCACTTAGTGCAGGGTTCAAAATTTCTCTGAGTTCCTGAGCAGACTAAAGCTTTTGAAGGGTAGGAAGACATTGAATTTGTAATCTCTTTCTCTTTGATCTTCTCCTCTGCCCCTCTCCCAGTCTTTGAGCATTTCACACTTATACTGGCGGAGTTTCATCTTGTTTCGTTTCTTCTCTGATCCTCTTATGCCAACCATTTCTTTGTATTTTTCTGTAGTTTCAATTGTGGACTGAAATGAGAAAAGGACTAGTTTAAAACTAAGAGATAGTAGGAACTGCTGATGCTGGAGAATCTGAGATAACAAGGTGTAGAGCTGGATGAACAAAGCAGGCCAAGCAGCATCAGAGGAGCAGGAAAGCTGACGTTTCGGGTCTGGACCCTTCTTCAGAAATGATCCTTCAGAGGAAGGGTCCAGACCCAAACGTCAGCTTTCCGGCTCCTCTGATGCTGCCTGGCCTGCTGTGTTCATCTAGCTGTACAACTTGGTACCTCAGTTTAAAGCTAAGGCCTGCTGCATTTTGTACAAAGCAGGTAACCAGACATTCTTGGTAGGTGCTGTTTCCACAGCTGCTAGTTCAGGCAGTAGTGGAAGGTTTACAGATGAACTAGAGCCATTGGGCCCTGAGTACAAATGAAGCTCTGGCTGGCAATAAGGGTCTGATTCGTCCATGGGCTAGTGGTCAGTTATTGCTGACCAAGTCCCCCTGCCTGCCAGCAATTGGGAGATACTATATCAGGGAGCTGAATAATTCAGGGTGGGTATGTTTGAGGGAAGAACATTGGATGGCTTCTTTTTCTGCAATAAAAGCCACCTTGTCTCTTGTGTCTCTGGCTCTCTGTGGCTCGCTCTGGCTAGCACGCTGTCTGTCTGTCTGTCTCTCTCTCTCTCTCTCTCTCTGTGTCTGTCTCTCT